CTGAACCAGTTCTTGGCTGAATACTTTCTTCAGTTATTCAATCAGCTCAGTCCCAGCAGCAGCTCATTCGAGCTGAAAGCTAGCTTGGACTCGCCCCTCACACATGCCGTCATCCAGCCAGTGAATTAAAATGAAGGGCCTAAAGTTTTTATTTACAAATCTATGGATTATAACAATAACTTACCAATAAGAAGTTACATATGTTTTAGGGGAAAGGCATTAAACTCACATATTTAAAGCAAAATTTATTATTTTCTGATTAGATGCAATTTGGTTTTCATACGTTAAACTTTTTAAGGTGTATTCCTTAGAAACATATTGATCCTAATCAAATGGAAGCCTAGGTACCATGCTAAGTATTATCTACACTCTTCAACGTAATTTAGAATGAAACAATTGCAGATAAATCTAGGAACAAAACTCCCTCACATTCAAAACAGAATTTGCTTATTCAAATGCTTATGCCATTTGGGTATTATGTCCAGAATTTTCAAAACTAGCCTTAAATATTTAGGCATTCAAGTGAAATCTGAGTAGCTCACATGCTTAGAAAATATCACTCTACATCTAGATTTAAAATAGAAAAATTACCCACTGCTGACAATGTGGGCAAACAGGAAATCTGCAGATAAGGATTATGAAACAGCAACTACTGTAAGATTTCAAGACAGATTTAAACCTGTGCTTTTACATAATTACTCTTTAGCCTTGTCTCCACCTAAAAATTTTCAGGAAATGCCCAGAAGCACAAACACTGACTAAAAAGAGGCTTTTGAATGAATTGTTAGCAACAGCAATACTAGAGACAGAAGCAAAGACTCTGCTATCATCAAAGGAATGTAGGGAACCCCTAAGAAACCCATCACAACATCTTAACAAGTTTATAAGCATTACTCTGTAACATCTTAGCAGTACTCATTGAAACAAACTGATGTATCTCAGTCTGCCATCTCAGGCAACAGCAGGCTCTTACCTGAGAGACCTGATTGGAATCTGTTTAATATTTCCCACCATTTAGGATATGTAGGACTGTACTGGAGAAATGCTACATCCTGCCTAATCTGCAAACAATACCTAAGATTCACACCCTGTATCGTCTCTTACTCCACCCCAAGTGCTCTCAGATCCCTTCCATGCTCCCCTTCTTCCTCCTTGCACAATCTCCTCCGGCATCTTTCTCTACTTTGGCTGGCGACATCTCTGGATCAGAGGTATGTATGTGTAGACTGGCTGGCCAGCACATGCCTTTGTAATGTTCAGGCTGTGTAAGTGGAGAGCTATGATTATTTTTCTCCCCCAGGGGACATTAGTTTTGGGACACTGCTGTCATCCAACTGGCTCCCGAACTTCCCAAATCTTGCTGAAATTCCATTCCTTTAGTATCTCTACCTCTCTGCCAAAAGTGGCAGAAAGCAGATACCAGCTTCCTGACAGGCAGCAGAGCAACTGCTGAAACCTCATTTTCCGAGGAAGCGAGACAAGTAACAGGGCTGGCACTAAAAGTAGTTTCCTCTGGCTCCCCTTCTGCAGAGGAGAAAGGGTTCCCGATGGGTGAGGAGCACAGACAGACCCTCAGAGCCTCCAGCCGCTCTTCTCTCGTTTATTCAACATCTGCAACAAGACAGCCAGGGAGGGCTGTGGAGCTTGGCCAGGTACAGCCAGGGTTCCCTTCCACCAGGAGATATGGAGAGAATGCAAATCTGCTGCCATGTAGTAAAAGTCTTGAATTTTCCTTCAAAGACAAGCAGATGGTATGTTTAAGAGCCCTTTGTTATCCTTCCTTCCCTTGGCTTTTGAGCCTGCAAAGCCCTCTTCGAGTTTTAGGTTCCTGCTGCTTTTTTTTTGACTGAATGAGAAAATTCCACATACTAATCATTAATTTGGAAGCAAGTAACTGACTGTGGGGAGAAGAAGGAGGAATTAACCCCTTTCTCATGTAGAGATATCTAAAATTGCATTTTTCTAACTAGCAAGCAACAGAAAGACCCCAAACTTTTTTTTTTTCTGTTTTACATTATTTGTCATTGCCATTTAATTATCTGTGAGAGAGAACCATTTACACATTAGGAAAGACAAGACATGATGTCTCTGTACAAGCAGAACTTGTCCTGCCCATGTTTAAGATTCAGAACATGCAAAATCTATTTACATTTCATAGCTATTAATTTATAATTGAGTTTGCACCTAAATTTCTATGTCAAGCAGCACTAACACATACAACTCTTAAGAAAAAAGGATGACACTTCAGTGTCACATTTACCTGTGTACCTTTTACAGGCATCTAAGCATGAAAACCCATGAGCCACTGTCCTGTTTCTGGCAAAATAAACCAGCTTCTCTTTATGAAATTGTTTATCAATGTGTTAATTATAAAAATAAAAGCACACAGCTGAGCTGTTCCATTAAAAAAAAAAAAAATCATCTTCCCACAGGATCTCTGCTGTGTTTTAAATAAAGAACAGGCATTTATATTCTGATTAGAGATTTGCAAATACCAAGAGCAGTCACAAAAAAGAATAATGAATAGCTTTTACAGACATTATCTGCATTTCTTTGAAAGAAAATTCATTTGGTTTTGCTTCTGAGAAGCACATTTGCATTCTCCAATATCACTTTATTTAAATTAATCCAGCCCCATCTTCCTGAAAATGAAAATGTATCCCCTGTCAACACCTGGAAGTGCTGGAATCTTCTTTAAAATGAAATTTGTATATATTTTCCCTTTCCCCACCAGTACAAGAAGTAGTTTCAATGTGTGGTACCAGCCCCTTGTTGTACTGCAATAAATGGCGTATTTGCATAAGGAATTAGCTTCCAAGAATTACATATGAATTACAGGTCACTGTCACTTGCTATTGTAACTTCACAGTAACTGATCAGGTGTTAAGCACCTGCTTACCTAATTGCTTCTGAAACTACCTTGGCCTTTCTTTAAGCATCAGGTAAATTGAGGATTTACTAACAAAAGAAAGGTGCTACTATTGTGTTTCCCACAGCTTGCATAAAACACTATTCCACAAATTAGAAATACCCTCTTTTAAAGC